CGTATTTGATTCGTTGTAAATCCCGGTTTAGTACAATTTCCCTGTTAATTATCTATATTATCATTGATACAATGTTTATTATTTGAGTCGGCAACAAATTGTTTAATGTATTGATCTTTTTTTGAAGTATTGAATAATAGGCGGTTTATGTTTCAAGGTATCGTTTTTGTTATTTGTGTGTTGTTTTTGTTGTTTATTTAATAATTGGTAATATACTTCTTATTTTGTTTTACGTTTTAAAAAATAATGTATTTCTTTACTTATTAATAGATTTAAACAAAAGCTATATTTGTGTTCTTATTCTTTATTTGTGTACCTTTTTCAGAACGGAAGTAACGAAAACGATTGCTTCCCATTATATTCGGATTTGTTGCCACAATTCCTTAACTTTTTCTCCTAATTTTTTCTAAAAGGTGGTAATCAAATCATCCTAAAAATCGGAAAATTACAACAAAAACAACCTGATAATCCCCACAAAAATGAAAAATGGTAACGAGTAATTTCAAGAATTGAGTTCAAAAAATATTATTTTTGGATAGAAAAAGACTTAAAAAACGGGAAAACATTCAATAAAATAAGACTGAAACATTTTTGGGCTACGGCATTGACTGTGTAAATTTTGGTAAATGCCTGGTTGTGCACAACACCTTGTAAAAACTCAATTTCTGATAATCAATACATTTTCATCAAATGCAGTGTTTTCCAAATGTGTGACACTTTTTGGTATGACAATAGTATTTAAACGACATTTTACAAATACATTATCGCTAATATATACCGTTCCTTTGTGTAAAACCACTTCTCTGAGTGATTCACAATTGGCGAAAGTGTAGTCTCTTAGTACTTTAACACTTCCAGGTATTTCCACTTTTGAGATTCTTTCACAATTAAAAAAAGCTCTACATCCTATTATATTAACATTTTCTGGTATTTTTATTTCTCTCAACGATTTACAACCATCAAAACAAAGTCCTTGAATCTCTTTTAAAGTTTTTGGAAGAACAACTTTGGTCAGACTGGTGCACAGATAGAAGCACTCATAATTGAGTCTTGTCACACTATTTGGTATTTTAATTTCACTTAACGTTTTGTCGCAATAGAAACAATAATCCCCGAGACTATTCACGTTTAGAGGAATTATGTGACCATACCTTTTACGTTCATCTTCTAACAAACTAATATTCTTATATGAAATTTTCCCATTTTCTGTAATCAAGGAACGACTATAAGAGACTTCATACCAGATATTTAAATGCACAAATTCGCATTTTATAGAATTAAAATTCTTTCGTGTATTTTTCTGAGCCTTTATCTTTATAATATCTGGATGAAGCGAATCTTTAACTAAGTCGTAAAAATTATAAAAATAATCGAAAAGACTCCAGACGTTTAAAGTCTCGACATTTGGGAATAAAGGAAGAATTTCAGGAGTGAGTGGTATTGGGTTAAAGTGGAACTTTAACATGTTTCCTTTGTATTTCGGGTGAACATTTTCAAGATTTTTAAAATCAGAAATACCAGTAAAATATTGTGAGACAATCATCATATGAAATGGGTCAAGTTTTGCCATTTAATGATTTTTGAAGATCAAAAACAATTAATACAATTATTGTTTTGTATTTTAAAATAGTATGATAGGTTTGTTATTTGTTTGCATTTATTATTAAAAATTAATTTTTATAAAGTCATTCTCCAAACGTTGTCCATTAATTTCTGGACAGTTATAATCAAAATATTTTGTATTTTTTTCAAAAAGCCCAATAATCATTTTTTTTAATAATTTTAATTATTTTTTGTTTTTTTTCTAATTCCAGTTATTTAAAACAAAAATCATTTATTTTTTTTTGTCAATAATACATTGTTTGAAGAAATAACAAAGCTTTTTTAAATTATATTTTATACACAAAATGTTTTATAAAAGAAGTTGTTTGTAAAATCAGTTTTTTAAAGTGGTTCCTTATGCAAAAAATACACCACAAAATTTTTAAATAATTGGGAAATAGGTATTAAATTATAAAAACGGAAAAAAATGAAACAATGTTTTTTTAGTGTTTCGAATAATTTTCCCGATATATTCCTGTAATTGAGATCTAAAAAACCGAGGGACAATGTTGGAGAAAGGACAAAGTTTAGAGAATGACTCTAGTTTTGATTATATAGACAAAAAACAAAACAATTTACAACAATAAATGTTAAAGACTTAAATGTTATTTAAACACATTACATTAAAACAAAAATAAATAAAAAATCTTTGTTTAATTGTAATTGTTTACAACCAAATATTGTACTCTTTTTAATTTGGACATGACAGTTTCTTTTTTTAACAGTATAAGACGAATTACAATTGGTTGTTGTTGGTTATATTTGAAGTTATTTAAAATAATTCATTATCAATGGAATTTTTCTAAATATATCAATACATATATATCATTTATATCCAAAAATTTTTAATGCTTTTCAAGATTTGAAGAAATCGTTATTTCAATCACCACGTGTCAATCTAAAGTACTATATATATTTTGAATTCTATTTGAAGAAAAAACGGGCACGTGTCTTCACTAATTAAATATTCATATAAAATATCAAATTTTAAAAAATGAATTCATAAAACATAATCCATTTTTTGTTCTTTATAACAAGTGTTATAATAGTTAATTTTACTTACAAATTATTTATAATTAAAGGAAAGATAAACAAACACAAATTGAATTTTAATTTTTAAGTAAAGTGTAAATGTTACTTAATAATCATTGTATCATAATGATGATATTATATATAATAGATACTTATGTTGTTTTGTTTATAAGACAAATTTAATGATTTTACTGTTTTTTTATGTTATAAATTAACATTAAAAGCTTTTAAACAAATAAAAGAAAGCCAACTATAAAATTAACAATAGTAATATAGCCACACAACTTGACATTTCTAAAATGTCAACAGTTTTGTCTTCTTTGTTAATACCAATATTTTCCAAAGATATTTCCTTCCAACATTTGTATTTATAAATTTGGCTGTTTTTCCTCATTCTGAAATCGCCATTTTTATAATCATAAAAAGTGGTTGTTTGACTTGAGTTGGTGTTCATCTCAAATCTTCTGATGTATTTGTCACAATTTTCCAAAAACCTGTAATCCATATTATAACTTCCAGAAAACACATTACAGTATATATCTGTGTTTTCCATCACTAGCCAATGTAAATTCTGTTCTTTTATCAACTCATCTGATGTTAGAGGCAATTTACTCCACTCTGGAAATTGAACACTCCATGGTGGTGAATACCTATCCACACCACTTGTTTCCATTGTATCAAGCAAATTATAAAACATTCCTGGTGTTGTGTGGTACCTATATACCCCCTTTGAATTACCCGAGAACCCTATTTTACATTTGAAGAAAATATTATTAAAAACAGTGTTGCTTCTTCCTGAAGCCAAGACTAAACACATCCCAACTATATTGGAAACGACATTTTGGTACACTATGTGATGACTTAAGTTGTCGTCCAAATACAATCCTATTACATATGAATTTTCCTTCCCAAATCCAACAGAGTCATGAAAGTAATTGTTTTTAATTTCATTGCCAACAAACTCCCAATGTGTTCCAGAATAAATAGCACCACAATCAGAAGCTCTTGTGCAAAAGTTTCTGGCTTCGTTATATGAAATTTCTATTTTGGCACCTCCGTGGTAAAATGCGATGTGTGGCGTGTTTTCTACCAAATTATGTTTCATGAAATTTCCAACTCCTTTTATTGAAAAGGCAGGTACAAAATTAAAGTAAACTTGTGCACTTGAATTTGCATAATTGTGTTCTAAATAGCATTTACCATTATATAAAGTTGATATATTACCACAGTCCAAAAGCGCAGCTTCAGATCCCGTGTCATAGAAAATGTTATGTGTAATGTTATTGTTGTGTGTACCTGAGAAATAAAGTGCTCTTAGACCACAATGGCGGAATGTGCAATTAGTAATTTTAGAATTATTCACAAGTGTAAAATGGACAAGGTTTTTTCTTGCATATTCAAAAATAATATTTTTAATTGTTACATTTGTCACGTTATACACGTGAATGAGATTAAATGTGCTCTGAGTGATCCATATTTTTGCTGCGTTTTCTTTAAGATATATGAAAAGTTTTTTGTCTTCATAATCGATATAGTACTCCCCCTCTTCGTCCAACTCTTCAAGTAAATTAAATATATAAAAAGGTCTTCCACTCATTATTCCTTGAAAGTCGGGGTTCTTCCCAAAGTCTCTGTCAACAGTGATTTTCCGTGTTGAATTGTCGACTTTTCCTCGGACAATTTGGTCGTGTGCAAAGATGAGCCAATACCCTCTCAGCCAGATTTCTTGATATTGAGCATACTTATCTATGATATTATCACTGTAATAAAACGTCCTTCCATATCGGTCGGGGGCATAAGCAGTCCACATGTTACCTCTGTACACGTAATTTTCGTCTTGAAGAATTGGCTTACCATGAGCTCCAGAAGACTCTATGGGGTTCAACGCGCCGGCTATTTTTTCACGTTTTATGGTCCAATAAGCCCCATCTTTTTGTGTTGGAATTCCACAATCAAAACGAGATGAAATAGTCCAGTAATTTGTTGTGTTTTTATAGAGATAGTAGTGGATGCCTAATATAGGTTTTTCGCTTTTAAAAAGAGGGTAATTTGCACACATAACCTCTTTTAGTGGGAAATAATATCCTGCAATATTAGGTACCAACAAAGTTGTATTATCAGTTGGTGGAAGGACATAAATACGATCAGTTGAGTGTGTATTGTCAGTGTATTCTGAATTTGGATACCTCGCCAAATGGTACCGCTGTTCATCTACAAATATTTCAACACTATTAGTCGCTTCTAAAATGCCCAACTCGATTTTGTTGTATTGATTATTTAAATCACACACTTGGATTTTGCTTCGAACTTTCGATTGAATTTTTGAATATTGTTTCGCGTCTTTAGTCGCGTCAAATGCACGAAAAGATGAAATGGGAAGCTTAACACCACCTGTGATTACTGGTGGAGATTCATTTGGATATTTAGTAATAGTTAAAGAGTGATAAACAGAAGGATCAGGAAGAATGTTGTGTGTGATAGACAAAGTTTTATTAATAAATGGGTAATATCCCGATTTGACATATATAGTAATTGGGTCGTATGGGGGAGTGTCTTTGAGTGTTGAAAGCGCATTTTGAAGTGATTCAAATGGAAATATTTTTGAATCACCAGGGTTGGTGTCTTTACCCGAGGTGTTGTCGACATAGATGTCTCGTGAATATATCAGTGTAAAGTTAGTCATAAAAATAACGATTAAAAGAGTGATATTAATATCCAAATGATGGAATAACAGTCGAAACATCAAACGAATTACAATTTATTGTTCATTTTTAAAAAACATTATAGTGTGTTTTCAATTAATTTTCATGTTTTTTATATCCTTGATTAATCAGATTATTAAAATGTCATTAAAAACAATATCACAATTATATTAATAATATAAGTCGGTAAACTAAATTTATGCTGTTAACCTTATTTATCAATATATAATTGGTTAATTTTTTTATTACTTAAAAAATACACTTAAAAACAAAAAAATAATAAAATCGATTATCAACTTTTCACACTAAAAAATGTCTTATCCCATTTTTTATCAATAAATAAAACGATTTATTTGGTACTCGACTTAAATAAAAAATGTATTCAATATTGTTTTTGGTGAACATGTTGCCAAATGCGCATTAAATGATCAAATATAACAATGAATTGAACTGCTATAACAAAGAATATAAAATAACGACAATCAAAGTAATAAGATAAGTCGTGAACGTCGAAAAGAAAATTATGGAGTTTCAGACAGCCAGTTTATCAAGTCGTTGATTTTCAAAAAAAATGATAACTTTATTTGAAGTTTGTTTACAATAATTTCCCGTTATTTATGTTCAATTACATTACCAAATCCACTGTTTTTATTTTCTTATAAATGAAATGATTAAGCAAATAGTTTTAACCTTATTTATGTCATTGTTTGTAATGCCATATTATTATCCATTGATTATCATTAAATTGAATAAAAACACTGATGATATATAGCAAGTCGTGTGACTTAATTGTTTTAAATTATATAAACATGTTCTATCAACAATTGTAAAGCATAAAGACTCAGGTAATTTGCTTAACTTTTTGCCAAAAATGGAAGTGATAAGATTATTTAAGTTTTGAACTTGAAAAAGACGAGTTGGTTTACAAGAACAAACAACTCGACTTTTTTAATAAAAAATTACAAAGAAAAAGTGCTAAGTTGATAAAAAACACAGTCTCAATGATTCTGATTTGTTAAACGTATAAAAGGTTTATACGTTTAAACCTTTTATTACTATGAATCCCAAATTTAAATGTTAAAAGACGACACAAAAAAGAAATAAAACTAATTATGTTTGTTTTCAATCAAATATAAACCAGCAGGATGTCGAAATCAACTCGAGCAAACGATTTATTTATTTTTTGAATTTTCTAAAGATAATTCAGAGAATAAACAAAAATTTGGCACTTTTTTATTGCTCAGTTGAATTTACAGAGAAAAATAGACACAAAGGAGATAAAGTCGGATAACTACTCGAAAAAACACAACACTAGTTTCGGATATCACTACAGAATTTGTAAAAAAACATGTTTTTTAAGTAGGAATCTCAAGCGACAAATTGATAAAACTGATGATAACAAAAACATATTGGATACAAAGAATATAAATACAAAGGAACTGTATAGAAATAGTTTACAGTTAAGCACAAAAAATATTATTATTAACTTTATAATTCATTTATTTTCTATTATAAAACATTTTTTAAAATTTTTTTGTTGATGAAAATTCCAATATCATTGGTGTTTAAATTAAAACATTTCCAAAAATTGTAGAAAAAAGAAAAACCTAAAGGGGGGATAAAAAACCGCTTCCGCTTAAAAACCGATTTTTTCAAAAAAGTAGTTTTTTGTTAATTTAATTATAATTAAATTTATAGTTTATTTTTTTCCCGTTTCAACAAAAAAAGAAAAAATTCAGGGTTTTTTATTCAAACAATATTTTACAAAATGAAAAGAGCCTTTTTATTTTTTTGTGAAAATTTTTTATTACATAAAAAAAGCAAAGTTTGCCGAAGCCATAAACCGAGACTATTAAAAGTAGCAAGCAAAAGTTTATTTTGAGGACAATTAATTACATAAAAACGAAAATAAAATGTTACACACCAAAAATTATTTTGAATTGTTTTTCAAACTCTTTTTCGATTTTTTGTTGAAATACAAATACTAATAAATCTTGAACCTATGAGTGCACCTTTTTTTCACACCCCCTTTATTTTCCTCTAATTTTTTTTCATTGTTTTTTAAGAGTAGAATCGATGATACTCGTGGTGGTTATAAACATACTCAAGAATAAAATTTAATGTTCTAACAGAGTTTGATCATATTTTATAATGATATACCTACATTTTTGTATCAGAAGATAAATGCACCTTTTTTCCATCACCCCTACAAATTTATTCCTCAATTAATCAAAAGTGCGTTTTATGGCCAAATTTAAATATTTTATATTGGCAAGTTCCAAGTGAAGACGTTTGAATTACCCATTCCCAACTCTTTTTCAAGTTCATGTTGAGTATTGTATGTACGATGCATCTTCAAGTGTGTGAACAATTTTTTAATAAATTATGACCAAAAACGAAGCAAAACAATAAATATGGTAATTTTCAATAAAATTTAAAGTACAAAATGATGGAAGCGGTTTTTAAGACGCTTGGATGCCGATATATTTTTTCTGTGTTTTTTGATAAAATTTAAAAACTTTTCAATTATTTTTACAAAACCAGTCTTTTTGGTATTATTTTAGTGTTGTTCATTTTTAATTTGGTATGGTATCGGTTTTATACGCCGAGAAGAGAGGATAACAATAAGACGAAAAAGATAGTGCATGGTATCTCCAAAGTCGGCAACATTTCTTATTGGTAAAAAAAATCAAAAAAATCCGTGTTTCATACTACAATTTTTAACAAATTGGCAACAAAATATAATATTTTGCTGATAAAATTAACTCGAATAAAAGTTTCAAAAATGTGGCATAATTTACTTTTAAATACCAAAATACATGTAATTTATTGGCAAGTTTACACCAAAAAGAAGGGAAGCGGTTTTAAAACCTCGAGCAAAATCACAAAAAAATAATATGGCATTGTACTATAATTGGTTATATTTTTAAGTTATATAAAGCCAAGATGGTGAAGGTATCGGTTTTATTGTCCATTCAATTGTGTTGCCCAAAAATGTATTTATCAATTTGGGTATAAAAATTGTTGAAGAAAGAGGTTGTATTCTTTCAACATGTAACCAAAAGATGATAGTTTTTAAATGAAGAATGATACAATGACACATTTAATTGTTGCCCGAAAGACAAAAATAGTTTTTATTAATTATTTACACAGTGTTTCATCAAGCATTCATAGTGTTAATTTGGTGTTTATTATAGGATAAAAAATGATTTTTTATAGTTAATTAAATTAAAATATTATTAAATTAATTCACAAAGGGATGAAATTAAAGATAGGAAGAGAAAAGAAAAAATTGGTTTCTGAACTTCATCACTGCCCCAATAGTGAACATACAACACAATTACGAATATTAAAAATAATTCAATTATAGTTGTTAATAAATTCGATTCACCGAAGAATCAATTTAGTTGTATACTCTTATTTACTTGACAGTTAAATGAATTATGTTGTGGCTTTCATTTATATCGATCCAAATCAAAACATGCGTTTTATGTTTTATAGATTCTTTAATTAAAGTAACGAAATGATATAACCAAAGAACAATAAATATAAAACTATATTTACTAAAAAATATCAGAATGATTATTATTTATTAATAGAATGTAAATAGTTTTTTTAAATAAAAACTATCAATTGTATTTTAGTAATTAAATTAATCTATTCAATAAAAAACAAATCCAACACACACAAAACATTCGTTCATTAAATATAACAATACTTAAATTGTTTGCAGCGAGCCTAATCAATAACAACACATCAATCCAATTAGTTGATTGAGCTTAAAACCCCATTTGATAACCCAGGTATACTACATACAATTATGAGTAAGTTCAGATAAAAAAAGTGATGCACGCCAACAATAAAACTATACATTATAATTTAAATAATTACATTTTTAATATTTATCAGAATCCTTAAAACATCATGTGATATATAATTCGACCAAACATAATCTTTATAAACTTATGGCATCTTCTGGTATTAAACAACCTTATAAACTGAGCTCGGAAAAGGTTAAAAGCCTCCACCTTGCAGGTCCTAAAATTCCAAATAGTTTAGGCCTCATTGAATATCTTAAATCATGTCCAGACACTTTTGAAAAGTTTAAAAATTTAGAAAAAAATGTAATTTGGCTCAATTTTCATTCTTTTAGAGATCAGATCCGTTTTTGTTTTTTTGAACTTCCGTCCGATATTTCAGAATCGCTCAAAACAAACAATCTTTCTTTTTTGGTCTCTTTGGAGCTTTTTTTCGGGACAATGAAATCTCATGGAGTTAAAACACAAATTTCTAAAATTAAAAAAGAAATGAAAACAGGACAAAAACCCGAAAAAGGACGACCAAGAAAGCTAACAGATTTAGAAATTGAAAAACTTCAAGCTGAAATTAAAAATGTGGGGAGTTCTTCTTCTTTGGGTGCTGGCTTATTTATTAAGCAAAATTTCGGGAAAAATTTAGAGAGGAGGCAATTGCATTAAATTGTCGGACACATTGAAGGTTTAGAGAAAAAAGTGGCACCTGTAATGGAAAAAAATAGGGCAGAAGTTAAACCAGAGTCAATTATGTCCTATTATACCAACTTAAAGAAAAAACTTGATGGGGTACGTTTCGAATTGGTTTTTAATTTAGACGAAGTTGGTTTTGCTCAATGGGTAGACGCCACTCAACAAATTGTTTATGCATCTGTTGAGTCGGGAGAGCAGGTTTATACCGAAGTGGATCGGGATAAAGCCAGAATTAGTTTACTTTGTTGCATTTGTGTTGATGGAACAAAACTTACTCCACTTGTGGTACAAAACGTCTATCCTTGTTAGACACCACGCTTGCTATTTTTAGTGGAAGAGCTATTATTAGAACACCACCATCCGGTATGCTGACAACAGACCTTTACACGCTTTGGCTAAAAAGAGTCTTTTTCCCAACAATTAAGGCAAAAAGAGAGCAAATGGGAGTTAGATCGGATACGAAAGGATACTTAATTCTCGATGGATTCTCTGGTCACTTTTCTAAACAAATAGAAGATCTATTTTTAGAAAATCACGTCGAAATGATCAAAGAAGTTGCCCATAGTTCTCATCTGTGTCAGCCTTTAGACTTGGGAATTTTTGGGATAGAAAAGGTGTTTTTACAAAACAAAAATGGGTTGATGCAGCACAAATTTGAGTTAAAAGAAAAAGAGGGGAAATTTGAGCACAAAGTCGGAAATATTCTAAAAATGGATTCTCCCGATTTTAAAAATCTTTTGAAAGGTTTTGTGAACCTTTCAGAAGAAGAAAGAATTAAAGAAATTCTCTATTCTTGGGAAGTGGTTGCAAATGGGGACAATGTTACAAGCGCATTTTCTCAGGCTGGAATCACAGTGGCTGTGAAAAAACCAACACAAGAGGAAATAGAAAAAGCTTTAAAAATCAATCCTAATTATAACCCATCCGATTTGATTCATGGTGTTATAAGAATTTAAATAAATTCAGCAAGAGACGCCTCTAAATTCTTGGGAAAGATGGGGACCCCCAAAGAAACAAAAGAACCCAAACGTATTTCTCTTGAAAACACTCAAATAAAAAAGCGCCGTCTTGAAAAAGAGCGACTCGATAGAGTCTCAAAGGAAACCAAAAAGAAAGTCAACAAAGGGAAGAAACCTCGAAAAGTCGACAATGAGAATGATTCTTAAACAATTTTAATTTAAGATGGTATTGGTTTAATTAATTTTAACTATAAATTTATTTTATTTGGAGTTTTTTATAATTTGTTTTTTATAATTATTTAATAAAAAACTTTGCGATAAAAATTAACAAAAATAATTGAAATGTTAAAAATTAGAAGTGATATTAATAAAGATATAATTTATTTTATCGACAAAATGATTTGTTTTTATAACATCTAGTTTATTTTAGTTATTTAATTAAAAAAATATCATATTATTGAGATCTGTATTTTCGATTTTTGTCTTTCAATAATAAATATAAATAATGAAAATTATAATAACAAATAAGTATAAAAACAATTATCACTTCTATCGCAATTCACAAATTGTTTCCTTTTAAACAATTTGTTGTTTTTCATTTTAGAAAAAATGGTTGTTTACAATTTTAAATTCTGTTATGGAAACATCAATATTACAAACTTTAAAAAATGAGCCTTTCTTTAATACAAAAATATGGGATTTTTGATAAAAAATATTCAAAACTACTTTGATTGGAAAATAATTCGTCTTTTCAAAAAGAGTATTTAAACTTATAAAACTGGTATTTATATATGTGTAAACAAATGAGGAGGTGAAATAAATTATGGCGAGAGAGTGTTTGACATGGTGAGGAGAGGAAAGAGTGCGTGGATGGTTTTGACAATAACAAATAAAAAAATGTGGTTTAACATTTTGTGCCATAAACGTGTCGTGTTTGATACGTTACAACTTCAAAACAAATCAAGACTAAAGCGACTTTCCTTATTTAATTTAATCTAACTGGGCAGTCCATGTGCATCATATCAACGAGGTGAAAGCTGCGTTAGACTTATTCAATTAATTTGTTTTAGTTGTTTTTATTATATTTTAATAATTTGTAATAAAGTCAAAAATAACTTGAAAATGTTTTGTAATCGTAGTCTATTTATGATTTGTTTTTCGTCATTGTTTTCGTAACTTTCCTGAAAGAATACATAACCTGTGGCTAAACTATGATGTTTTTTTCCCAATAAAATAAGAAATAATTGATTTTCCTTCTAAAATATTCTTAAAGAGCTTTGGCAATGTTGTTGTCGTTGTTATTTTTTCTTTTTGTAAACGAAAAAACAATAACAAAAAAGACAAAATAAATAACATTTTTATTATTTTTACCATAAAAAAAAGAAGCGATTTTTCAAAAGAAGCGGTTTTTTAGCCCCCCTTTATAAATTATTGTTTGCGCGATTGGTTTGTTTAGTGTTTAAATTTCAAAAAAGTCGCCACAAGGTAAGTTTTTTGTATATCATATCTAGTTCAAAAAAACAAAATTTGTGTTTTATTTAAAACAGTAACAGTATCGTAAAGTTAATTAAAAACACAACAAAACTGAAAATGATTATGTAGTAAAAAATAAAAATATATATACTAATAAGATTGGAAAACTTCTCTTCGGGTGTTTTACGAATAGTAGTAAATGGTGTTGTAATACAATTTCATGGCTATATTAATGCTACTGATTAATTTGATTAATGACATTAAATGCAAGAAATAAAGCACAAAACGTCAAATTATATCACTTAAAATCCTACTCAATGCACCAGCTTCATTGCTTGTTTTTTATTTTTTTTATTTTTATTTTTTTTTCAGTTAAACAATGGCTAAATACGCCGTACGATATAAAAACAAACCTTTAACAAATCTTATTTAAATACATTTTAATAACAATTAATTTTGTTTAAAAAAATAAATGGGGATAATGGGAGTCGAACCCAACATCTTTTTCCTAAAATTGTTCTCATTGAAAGGAAATGCACTACCGTTGTGCTATATCCCCTTGAATAAAGTAAATATAAACGGACTCTGTATTTTTTGATCTTTACAAAAACGTGTGTAAATGTTAATTACAAATGAATAGATGTCTGTTGACATTTTGTACTTCTCTTTTTGCTAAACTTCAGGAACTATTGTTTTGAAGTCGTTTTAATAATCAATTAAAATATATTCTAAGAAATTTTGTAAATTTTAAATAACAATTTCTGTTTAATATATAAATTTGCTTTCACCAATTATTGTACGAAGTAGTTTTTGTTGTATGTAATCATTATTATTTTAATATTATGAAACAAAAAATTAAGACCCAAATATTTTTTTTTTAAAAACACATGTAATAACGTTGTAAAAACAAACAACTTAATTAACTTGATTGAATCAATTATTTTTTATTTAATACAACCAATTAACATACATATTAAAACTTTTGATAATAAAGTAATTATTGTTTTTTTTGATAAATGTATTTTTATTTTATTTTTGTATAAAAACAACAAATAATTATGATTTTTATTTTAAAAGTTTAATTAATATTCAATTAATATAACCGTAATTAAATTGAAACATCCTGAAGTTCTTTTATAACATTTTCTATATCAGTTCGATCATTAGGTTTTTGGATACAACACTTTTGAATAATCATATATATTTTATGGTGTATATTTCGATTGTTATCAAGTCTATGGCCGAAAATAACAAACTCGGCGATTTTCCATGAAAAATTGAACTCCATACCAGAGTAGGCTTTTTGCCAACCAAAGCACTCGAACATAGTAATCGCAAACGAATATACATCAGCTGGCTTCTTGTATTTATCTTGTTTTAAAATTTCAGGTGCCATATACACTGGTGTGCCAATTCCTTTTGTGAATGTCATGTTTGTCAGCAGCATAATAATAATTCTACTATTCCCAAAGTCTGTCAGTTTAGCATTTATTTTATCGTTAATATCAAGTGAAAATATCGGAAATTGTCTGGCTTAAAGTCTCTGTGTAAAATTCCATTCTCATGTAAATATTGAATTCCTTTAGCTGCGTCTATCATCATTTTTAAACGGATTTTAAGTTTAACTACATCACTTGTTTTGTGATTTATCAAGTCTTGTAAACTTCCATGTTGAGCAAATCCATGTTGACAATACACACGTTATTTGGCACAAAGACAGCTCCATAAAAGTGCACAATATACTCACTTCTAAATTTAGCCAACATATCAACTTCCTTCTCAAATTCATTTTCTTGTGATTTTTGATTTATTAACAGTTCTTTCATCTTCTTGATACAAACCACATTTCCTCTAAAAGTGCCTAAATAAACTATTCCAAAGGAGCCTTCTCCGATTTTTTTATCTTCTATCAATTCGTGATAATCAAGACGATATGACATGACAGTTGTTGCTCTGATTGGTATTTCAATAACATCTTCTGTCCCTTTAGTGATGTTTAAAGTCACACACGCGATTTTGTCTTCTATTTTTGATGTGAAATTTGGTTTTAGAGATATTTCAAATTCGCAAGCATAATTTGGTTTCAATGTCACAAGAGGGGGATTGGCTTGGATTTCATAAACATCATTCCCTTCTTTCATTTTCAACTGCATTTTTATATGATGTGTCTTATTGTTGCCAAGACACAACAACTCGCGACTAAATTTATTCCTCGTGGAGACTTTTTCTGTCAGATGTGGTAATTTGTATTATACTTTTTCTTATAATGTTATTAGTTATAACTGTTAAATCGATTAGAGGCTGTAAAAAGACGGAAACGGTATTTAATCCTTTCTGTTAATTAAAAAGTTGAATATAATTTTGAATAATTATTATAGAAAAAACATGTTAATTATTCAAATAATAGAAAATAGAGTATAATTATTTAAATTACAATTCAGACATTGACCACAGTATAGTAAAACTAAAAGCAACAATGGAAGCTCACGTTTCATCACCCAAATTAGTTTTACCAACTTCTATTGATGGTTTAAACCTTGACAAATCCATTGAAAAGATCACTGCGAGTCTTAACATCAAATAAAAAATGAAACAAAACGCATTATTTGTTAAAAGAAATAACAAATTGCTTATCAAAACTATTAGAATTGACCAATTTGCTTGAAATGATGAAAACCCAATGCGAACAATATGGTGTTGAGATTGTTACGTTTAGAGACAACACTCTCAACCTTCTTTTACAAGCAGAAAAAGTCCGTTGTGACAACGAGCTTGAGAGAAACACATTCCGTAAGACGGAAATACAAAACGTTTTTGCACAGCGAGAGTTTGCAATAACGAGCTAACGCGACCTTCTGTGTTATTCAACCACGGCCGTTGTTTAAAGAAGAGTCCACAAACAACACCCCTGATAATACAATACAATAAATTGAAATTTTATAGTCACCAAAAGAAGATAGTAAAAATACTATTAATAATAGTAAAAATACTATTACTGATAGTAACGTGATTGACTTAAACATCAGTTCGTCTGAAATAGAAGAACAAATATTGGAATATCACAGCAATGAATCTAACAAAGAACCCCTTTGCGAATATCACGTAAAAACAAATTTCAGTGACAAAATTGAATTCGAAAATTGTGATGTCCTTTTAAATAAAAAAGAAAAAGAACAAATACTTAAATGGAGTGGGAGGAGTGTTGGTGATCTAATTTTCACTTATAAAAATAATTTAAAAAGTTGTAGTGTTAAACTTCGAGAGTGTTTTCATGAAGGGAATGGGTTTGTCATTGCACTGCTCTATGAACAGAATGTGTTTGGTGTTGTTGTGACTAAAAAAGTTGATAAAACGACGGACTATGCATTTGATGAAGACTGTTTTATATTCCAAATGAGAGATAATGGAGACAACAATTACAAAATGTATAAAATTAAAGCAGAAAATTTCGATTGGGCATTTTCAGTTGGTGTAAAATGCAGCACCAAGTTTTTTGATGTTGGGTGTGGAGATATTAATGTTGTTTACAACACTACAAACAAAAAGGTCGTTTGCAAGTGCGCACAATCATCATTTGATTACAAAAATTGCACTCAAACGATTTGTGGCGTGGATGGGTCTGTAATCTTTAATATACAGAAATTTGTTGTGTACAGATTAAATGATTTGGATTGAATATATTTTTGGATGATATATAAAAAAGGTTTTATATTTTCAAAAGTCGAACAAATTAACTACTTTTTTTAATTGTATTAACGATAGAACGATAATTAGAAATATAATACACTGATGTGGGTATTTTCATGATAAAAATAGAATGAGCAAAATGGTTTACTAATTTTTTTTATTTATTTTAAAAAATAAATTGAATTTATAAATAACAATAAAGTCGGTGGAAAACCTTATTTATTCATTTAATTTGAAATAAGGAAATTCAAAAATTTCAATAATTATTACTATATATATATATATAATGTTGGAAAATATTAACAAATAAGTTTGGAATAGTTTAACATAATATTATAATTATGACAAATTAATTTCATTGTTTTAAAAACAACAAATAAGTGTTTTGACTGAATAGTGTTATAAAACAAAGTTATAAATCAATAAATCAGAGATATAAAAAGAAGTTAAAAAATTATGTAAACCTTTACAAAAAAAACAAAGATTCAAAGCAAAATGTTTTAAAATTTAAAACAAGAAAGCAATGAAAAGAGCGAGGAACGCAAAGACTTCAAATGCACCTTCAGAAAACATAAAGTTTACGCCATTTGATTTTGTGCATTTTTCGAGTTCGTAGGTCACGGTAGTTAATGTAGTATCAACAGCTCCAGTGCAATCTTGTGAATTATAAGGTGTTAATGTAATCATTTTGTCTTTAATTTCAGCTTTTACAGAGTAAGACACTAATCCCAAAACTTTGGTGCATTGTGGATTTAAGTTTTCGAGAGGATGACCATCACTATCACTGAGTTCACAGTTATCGGCATCGTTATATACATATTGAACATAGTAATAGTCTGGCAAGTCATCTCTAATTTCAATATCACCAGACGAGGAGCTGCCTTGTTCTTCCCAATCTCCACATTTATTAGACGTGTATCCTTTAACCTTGTCACCTTTTTCTTCAAACTTAACGTAAGTGTCTAACATCATATAGTAGCATTGATCAAATTTGAATACCGCAGTAGATCCATCAGGGTTAGAAACAACAGTGTATTTTGCTGTAGCCAAAGTAATAAGAAGAATAGTAAACATATATATTTTCCAAGTTAAAACGCGTTTTTATATAATCAGGTTTTTAAAATAAAGTTCGGTTACCAAAACACGGTTAGTGATTATAATAACAAGTTATTTGCAAAGAGGGAAAAATTAAACAAGGCAATATTTTTTTTACAAAATATTATTATAGTTTTTATTAAAAATGTTTGATTGATTTTTTTTATAATATTATAGTCATCAAATTTTTCTTGATATAGATACTCTGAATTGTAAGAATGTTTAATGTGTGTCGGTCGAAACAAAAAATCCTTTTTTATTTAATCGAAATACACTTTTTGCTTTCAGTAATTTGAAAACAACAAACATATGTTAAAAAAGCTCAAATATATATTTCATGTTATTGATATTTTGTTAACATCATAGTTAGATGTTAACTAAATTGTATTTTTAATTAATAAAAATGGTTATTTATTATTCCATACTGAATTATTTTCTATATTATTATGATATTTTAATTTATCATAAATATCAAATAATATTGAAAATATGTTTTTGTTTAATAATAGCTAACTATAAATTACAAAAATTACAGATTGATAAAACAAGCCAGCAAATAATAAATTTATACACAATCATAGTTTTAAGGTTTTGTAAAGAAAACACTGAGTGGTAGGAATTAATTTGGTAAAAATTTAACTATTTTATAACAGCAATCACAATAAATCTTTTTTGTTGATAATCATGTTTTTTTACTTAGAAAATAAATATAGATAGGCAAATAATTTATCTAAAAAATGTCTTATTAGTTTATTATTTTCAAATTTTACAAGTTTTAATCAATAAAAATGAAAAATATTTGTTATTTTTAAATTTATCTATTTTAACTAAATGGTTTAATATTAATGAAATAAAATATGACGATTTTATGTTATTCAAAAATATATTGAGACGATAAACATTAGATAAAATAATAAAAACACAAAAAATACTAAAAACAAAACACATTTTAAATTATAATGTTTATTTAAAATATTTTAATTTGTACATGTTAAATACATAACTTTATAATCAATCACTTAATCATTTTTTGAAGCTTTTCTCTAACAGTTTCGATATTAGTTCTTTCTTCTTTGTCATGAGCCCAACATTTTGTTATTAATTCATATTGTTCATCATTAAGTAATTCGGATTTATTAAGACGATTTCCACCAGTTACAAAGTCTGCGATTTTCCATGGGTACTTGAATTCTATTTTGTCATAAGCATCTTTCCACCTGAAACACTCAAACATAGTCATTGCAAAAGAATAAATATCAGCACTCTTCTTGTACTTCTCTTGTTTTAAAATTTCAGGCGCCATGTAAATTGGTGTTCCAATTCCCTTCGTGAAGGTCATGTTGGTTTGCAGCATATTGACATTTCTTGATGACCCAAAGTCAGTCAGTTTAGCATTCACTTTTTCATTCACATCAAGTGATAACACAAGGAAGTTGTCTGGTTTGATGTCTCTGTGTAAAATTCCATTCTCGTGTAAATATTGAATACCAATCGATGCGTCTAGTAACAATTTGGTTCGCAACTTCATATCAATTTCATCACTTGTTTTGTGTTTCATCAAGTCTTGTAAACTTCCAAATCCTGCAAATTCGGTGACCATACAGACCTTGTTGGGTATAAATACAGCACCATAGAAGTGGATGATGTAATCACATCGGAACTTGTCTAGCATGGCAACTTCTTTTTCAAATTCTAAAAGACCATTTTCATTGTTATCAAGTTGTTTCATCTTTTTTATAGCAACACAAACTCCTCTGTATTGCCCTTTGTAGACAATTCCAAAACTGCCTTCGCCAAGCTTCTCGTCTTCTATGATTTCTCTGTAATTCAATTTGGTTGTTTGTTCTGTTTCGATTTCGATTTCAACTTTAGCGTTTTCAATGACACCAGTTGTTATATTTAACGAAGTAATTGCCACGTGTTCTTTAGTAACACAAGTACACAGCGGCTTGATGAAAATCTCAAACTCACAAGCATATCCAGGCTTCAATGTCACAAGTGGTGGCACACTTCTTATTTCATAATAGTCACACCCTTCCATCACACTGAATTGAACTTTCAAGTTACTTTTAGACACATTCCCAATACATATCAAATCTCTTGTCTCAATGTCAATTTTTAGTAATTCGTTATCGTCTAAATCAAATTTCAGTGTTGTCTTGTTTGTTACCAAATTTGCACTCAAATTCATCATCTCAATGTTTGACCGACTCATCTTAAAGTTGCAAATGTTCTGCTCTTTTTTCTTCTGTTTTCTCTTTTGTATCATCGATATGATTACCATTATAATAGCAACAATAAACACTATGATCACAAAAGTGACTGTCATTGGCGCACCAACTACCAACCCATAATTTGTCACTTTCACACAATAATCACCAGCGTCACTTGGTTCGTGAAATCCTTCACATTCTGTGCACTTTGAATTATTCGCAGACAAACAAAACTCAACACTTTTGTAATCCACACACTGCGAGTCAACCAACACATAATCCTTTTCAACACAGCTTTTACAATTTTGATAGCTGTCACACGAAATGCAATTATCAGAACAGTTTTTGCAAATGTAATTATCCAAGTAATATCCATTTTCACACCACAGACACCCAATCGGTGTTTTAATTGCACAATTAGTCAAGTTGTCATAGGATACACATAATTTACTTGTACTTCCTGGAAGTTTGAAATATTCAGTTTGACAACTCAAACAAGTAGTACTTTCAACACAAGTACCACACGACTCATCACAAGAAATACAATCAGCTTCTTGTTTGTAGTACTGGTCTTTGCAAATTGCACATCCACCGCTTGTTGGCAGTGTCAATGCACATTTTGTGAATAAATCGCCAAGTGGTTCACATGTGAAAGAAGATGACAAGTAATACTGTGGATTACATGATAAGCAATACGTTGTGTTGTAACAATTATCACAGTGATTCGAACACATTTTACATTCACTATTGTTGTAATGATAACCAGAATTGCATCTTACACACCCTTTGTTATTACGACTGAAACATGAAACTTCAACACCTTTTATTTCTTGTTTTGTGTTGGTTAAATTGTTTTCATCGTTTTCGTCATCAATGAAATTTTCTGAACAATTACCATTTTTTAGTTTGAAAGAATCCAAACATTCAACACATATTGATTGTAAAATCAGTGAGTATTTACAGTGGTCTATTTGAGTGGTAGTAATTGGAATACAAAAATCGTATTTCCCTTCATTGTTAAGCGAGTCAATCAAGTAAAACCCCTCGGCACACTGTGAACAAACAAAACCATCAGCTTTGACACAACCAACTTCACTTTGTTCAACACAAAACCCATTTGTTTGGATTACATAATTTTTGTTACACTTCTTACATTTTCCACCTTCACAGTTATTACAATTTGGAACAGAACACACCGAGCATTTGCCATATTTAAGTTCCATGTTTACATCAACACACTGTGAGCAATAATTTTTGCCGTATTTCAAACAATTGTTTTCACTTGTGCAACTCAATGTTTCAACGTTATAAATTGAATTATTGGCACATGACAGTAATATACTTTTTGATTTGTAATTCATACAAATCGACGAGTTGTTTTTACACGTTACACATTGATTGTTTTCATTCAAATATTTACCTTTTTCGCATGCAAAAATGATATTATTTCGAGTCAATACATTTGAAACAGAATTGCAAGTCTTTTCATTAACAATGTTATTATCTTCACATTGAATGCATTCCTTTTGGGTTTTGTAGTTTCTTTGATATATACATTTTGATGGAGTGGTTTGGCAGTCCGATCCAACTGATATTTGATCTGAACACTCACATGACACTTTCGAAAGTGTTGATTTGCCCATACATTTGGTTGCCGACACACATTTGTTGTTTGACAGATAATATCCATCTGAACAACTTAAACACTGTTCTTGAATCGAAACAGTCAAACAGCCACCCCCATTATTTTCGCACTTCTTTGTTGTGGCGTTGTAAAATGCGTTTGTTCCACAAGAATCACAAACACTGGTTTGAGTATTAATTTGAAATGGCGAATAACACGTGATACAAACAGGAATTCCAACCGTTTTAGTTGAGCACGCTTGACAATTTGGGATGCCAATGTAACACTTTTCACATGATGTTTCAGTGTTTTTATAAGTTCCAGAAGTACAAATCAAACAAGTTTGGTTTGACAAATAATATGGGTCTTTACACGACAAGCACTTGTTTTCTCTTGAATTACATGATTTACAGTTTGTGATAGTTGTGTTACAAAATACACAGACCCCACTTTGATTTGGATAGTATCCACTCTCACATTCAACACATTTTCTGTTGTAATCAGACGAACATATCTTGCAACTTGGATCAAACGATTTGCAAGCAACACACACACGACTCTTAGTTGCTTCAAACACATAATTGTTGATACACCCAGTGCACTTGCCTGTTGTTTGATCGCAGTTACCATTGCATGTAGCATCACATGAAACACACGTGTATGTTGAGTCGCTTGGATACATTCCGTTTGGTCGACACACACTGCATTTTCTCTGATATGTCGAGTCACACGTCAGACAATTTGAATCAAACATTGAGCATGAATCACACACTAAATTATTTGTAGTTGAAAAAACATAATTCAACGAACAACCAGTACACTCCCCTGTAGAACCATTGCACATTCCACCACATGACCAATCACAGTTACCGCACTTGTAAATTGCGGATGCTTTTGTGTATTTTCCACTTGAACACAATTCGTATTTTCTTGTATAATTAACTGCACATTTTGAACAGCATGAATCAAATTCAGAAGACTTAATACAAACTTTTGATATTGGAGAAGTTACTGTGTAATTAAACAAACACCGTGAACAAAATTCCGTTGTCGAGTCACATGTATTTGGTTTACATGTTGAATCACAAGCAACACAATTCCCATTTAATAAATAAAACCCACTATTCTCTCGACATTTAACACATTTTCTTTCTCCATTTAATTCACACTCAACACAGTTTGCATCGAATGATGAACAATCAACACATTTGTTACTTTCTGGATCACTAAAAACTTTACCAGAAACACAATTGGTGCATATTCCATTTGTTGTGTCGCAATTACCACCACACGAAGAATCACACGTTTGACATTTTCCGGTGGTAATATCTGGGTACATATTCAAGTTGCATTTGGTGCAATTTCTCGAGCTTGTTGAACTGCATGTTTCGCAGTTTGGGTCAAATAATGTGCAACTCAAACATTTCTTTTGTTGTGGTTCATCAAACACATGGTTATCGATACATTTGGTACACAGACCATTTGAGTCACAATTTGAACACGTTAAATCACACGACACACAAACTCCATTTGACAAATACGAAATACCACTACTACAATTTTCACATTTTCTCTCTGTTGTTGAGCAGCTGAGACAGTTGTTATTAAATCCTGAACAACTCTGACATTGTTTTGGATTTGATGGGTTGATTGTGTATTGATCAGTGATACAAGTATTACAATTTCCCGTTGTAGGTGAACAATCATAAAAACAAGTTTCATGGCAAAACGTACAAGAAAACGGTGATGATGGACTTGGATATAAGCCAATCAAACACATTGTGCATTTTCTTGTAGTTTGTGAACAAGCTGTACAATTAAAATCATAGGCTGTACACGGCTGACATTGAATACTATCAACTTCCTGTTTTGTGTATTGTGCTTTGCATGTTTCACATATTCCAGTCTTTTTGTTACAACCATTATACGCACATGAAATATCACACTCTTTACAAATGCCATTCGAGTTTAAGTAATAATTGTCTTTACAAGTTGTGCATCTTCTGTATTGATTTTCTCCACAAACAGCACAATTTGGGTCAAACGAAGAACATGCCTGGCATGATCCGTTGTTAACTGTGAATGGAACATAATTATCATTACACCCGTTACATGTTCCATCGGTATTACATATTTTGCAAGATGCGTCGCAAGGTGAGCACAAACCATTTGAATTGAGATATGAAATACCAGGTGCACAAGCCAAACACTTTTGTTCAGTTTGGCTGCAAGTAACACAATTTGTTATTTCACTGCATTGGCTACACCCAAAATCCTTTGGGAAGTACCCAGATTTACAATTCGTGCATCCTAAAGTCGTGTGACACCCAGAGATCTCACAATTTGCATTACAAGTAAGACAAGTCGAGTTTGAAAGGTAAGTCCCAGACTTACAAGACGAACACTTCGAAGGAGACCCTGAACATGTGAGACAAATCAAGTTACAAGTTTTACACACCCCGTTGTCAGAATAAAAACCGTCATTACACGAATCGCACTTTGTTGTATTAGATATGCAATGCCCAGGGGTACAATTATCACAAGCAATACACTCATTGTTCCACAAATATCTTGAACCTGGTACACAGGAATTACATATCGTCGAATTGTCTATGCAGGTTTGGCACGTAGAAGAACATTGAAATCACGTGTAAGATGAAATATAATATCCATCAATACATGAATTACACTGATAAATTGTGGGTCCATTGCACTCGGTGCATATACTGGGACATTTTAAACAACTGTTTTTATCAACATAATATCCTTTAAAACACGTATAACATTCATTATTATATCCATAAGAGCATAGTTCATCTTCGAACCGCACACATTCACCATTATTTGATTTGTAATACCCACTTTCACATTCATAACATTTATATCGATTGCAAAGTTGACAATTTGTTGGGCATGGTATAGTACAGGTGTGGTAATTTTCCCCTGGTTCAACATCGAGTCGTTTTCCATTTTCACAGCTTGTACAATTTGTTCGTTCAGGACCATCACAACTACCACATTCAGGGTGACATCGGAAACAAACGTTGTCTAAAAGATAATAATCGGGGTTGCAATATAAACAATTTGATTTTGTACAAGCGCCGCAATTTGGAGAACATTGAACACAAGTTCCATTTAATAAATAAAAACCTCCTTTACATTCATTACAATTGTTTGAAATTGTTCCACTACAATATTTACAATTTTTATCACAAGGAAGACAATATCCATTAGATAAATATAAACCAGATCGACACGTCAAACAATTGTTTTCACCAGTTCCATTACAAGCCGAACATTTCGAACTACATTCTATACAATACCCATTTGAGTAATAATGATAAGGTTTACATGTTAGACAATTCCCAAGCCCACTCGAACTACATGTTTGACATGAATATTCACATTTTAAACAAGACCCATTTGAGTACGCGTTATAAGAATCACATGTTAGACAATTATTTGCATTTGGTCCATTACATGTTTTACAAGACGGGTCACATTTAAGACATTTATTTTCTGATAAGTAATAATTATTGTAACATGAAACACAGTTGTTTGCATTTAGACCATTACATGTATAACACGATGAATCACACTTTACACAATATCCATTTGAAACTCCATATAAAAATTCGCAAGTCAAACAATTATTTGAATTTGGACCATTACATGAACGACATGATGAATCGCATGGAAGACAATATCCATTTGATAAATAATAATATAATAGGCAAGACCTGCAATTATTTATATTTGGACCATAGCAGGAATTGCATGATGAATCACATTCAAGACATTTGTTACCAGACAAATAATAAGAACTTTGACACGAAATGCAAGAAGTCGGAGATATGATACAAGTTTGACAAGAAGATGCACATTTAACACATGTTGTTCCTTGTAAAATGAATCCCTCTTCACAATCGTCACATTCTGTTATTGATCCACCATAACACGAAGTACACCCATACTTACAATGTAAACACGTGCTTGAATTTGATTTATAATAATGATATCCACAACTAAGGCAATCTTCATTTGTTCCTTCAAAACAAGTTTTACAAGAATAATCACAGTTTAAACACTTTGAACCTTGAGTTAAGTATTTGTTATCTTTTCATGTCAAACACCCCTCAAATGTATTATTAGTACAAGTCTTGCAATATGAATGACAGGAATAACATGAATCATTTGATAAATAATATCCATCATTACATTCAACACAAAATGATGTATTTACACACTGTTTACAATTTGAACATGATGTTTTGAGAACCTCTTGTTTGTTAAAAAAGTCTGTATTTGGTATCATTTGCAGTGGTGATAATGTAAAATTATACAACTTATGTGAATATATGTACGTATTATTATTTAATTCAAAATTTAAAAGAGAACGGTATTTCGAATTTACAATCACTTCAAGGTGTGTGTTTCGATTACATTTAATTATAAAGCCATCATTGATCAAAGGCAACTGAATACTTTTGGTTGATAAACTCCATTGGAAATTCTGTTCACATTGTTTGCCAAATGGAACACATTCAATTTTGTTTTCATATTTACACCATTCGATTTTAGTGTTAATTGATAATGTAAAATTGAACAATAATAATAAAATGAATACAACCATTGAGTATTTTAAACAGTTTTCGTTGTATTTATAACATAACAATAATTTTATATAAAGGGTTAGAAATTACATTTGAGTTATTAATAAATGCTTTAAACTATTGGTGTGTATTCTAAAAATAAATAATGACACATTCACATTTATTTTTAATTCTTATTCTATTACAATTAAATTTGTCTAAACACTCAATTCTTGGTATATTTTTTAATTATCTAAAAATTATAACAAGAAATAACAAGAAATAAATATGATTCAAAAGTAAATTGTTAAAGCATAAAAACTTGGCATTAATATGATTTTTATTTTTATATTATTTATAAATAAAATAAATGAACGAATAATTATTTTATTTAGATTTTTTTAAATTATAACAACTAAAAAATGAACGAAAAGATATTTTTTAAAATGTAATTATAAATATAATGTATTGAAAATAATATTATAGTATTCAAAACTTCTTTATGTTATATTATTAAATTTTGTCAATTTATTGTTTGAACGCTTAAATCTGGCACAAATAAATTTAGGAACCCTCATTAGTTTTTTCTTTTTTCTTTTATTTTACAATCTTTTACTAAAAATACGTTTTTGCTTATTTTTTATATATATATTTTCTGTTGTTTCAGAACAAAACTGTACCAATTATCATGTTCACACGTTGAAAGTTGCTTTTTGTTGTACTCTTGAAATGACACTAAAAAACGACGATAAATTTACACACGATGTTGAGATAACCGATTCTGTATTATCTGCAATTATTAATTCCTATTGTGATAATTGATTATTTTTAGTAATGACAATTACTATTTTTTATTACCTAACTTTTTAGTAAATTGTGTTTTGCTTTTTACGACAAAAATGGGGATTTCCAATATGCCAGATTTAAGCTTACAAACAATAAAATAACACAAATTAATCGAAATAATAATAACAATATATCATTTATAAACAAAAAATTTCTAACTAAAAAGAATAGTATAATTACAAAGTATTTGTATATTTCATAAGAAAAAGCAACATGTTAGTATATTTTAATTTGAACTAGTATATGTAAATATAATTATTAAAATGAAATAATTTATAAAATGTTGTAATTAAATTATTTTTGATTTATCAAGAAACATCATGATGGAAATTGAATATGTTAATAAGAAAACAATTTTAACACTTTAAATTACATTGAACAAAATTCAAGTGGTCTAAAAATCGGGGAAATATCGAGTTTATTATATAAATTTCCGTTTTTTTAGAGTTTATATTATGTGCATAAACAATACACAAGCCAAAAAAGAAAAATCATCAAAAAATGGAATAATATCCCTGTAAAAACAGGCCAAAACAAAAATAAGGGTGTTATTTTAAGTGTTAAAAGAAAAAAGTTTGAAAATAAAAACACTGTAAAAAATATGTGAAAATATACTGAAATTATATAAAAATTTATTATTATTGTATTAACAATGTAATT